AAAACGTTATTGGCAATTACCCCCAAACTAAATTCCAGCTTTCCCTTTGTGATATGGAACCTTGTAGTACAATTTCATAAAGATCCATACTCTTAAACACAAGTTATTGTCATGAAACTAGAAAAATGCTTGTTTTTTGCCCCTTTTTTGGCCCCTAATTCCTAAGATTTTGAGGCAATCACCCCCAAAATCAATCCCAGCATTCCCTTTGTGATATGGAACCTTGTGGTAAAATTTCAGAGAAATCCATACACTAACACACAAGTTATGTCTGGAAGTTAAAAAAATGTTCATTTTTGGCCCCTAATTCCTTAACTGTTGGTACCATAACCCCCAAAATCAATCCCAACCTTCCTTTTGTGGTATTGAACCTTATGGTAAAATTTCACAGAAATCCATTTACTTAAACTAAAGTTAGAGTGCGAAAACTAATGTGTCTTCGGACGACAACGACAACGCCAACGTCAAAGCAATATACAAAAAAAATTTTGCGGTCGTATAAATAGGAAGGTTTGGATTGATTTTGAGGGTTATGGCCCTAACCGTTTAGGAAAAAGGGGCCAACAACAATACTTTTCTAATACTTTGTATAACTTGCTTATTTCTTGACCAATTTCAATTGGGTTATTTTCAATCTTTAACTCTAGGGGTTCTTCATAATGCTGAATCTAACAGTGTATTTTATTTTAGATTTTGGATTTTGTGCCCTGTTTTTAAATTAGTCAACATTGACAAAGGGTCCAATACTCCAATATTAAACTTTGTTTAATTTCATCAAAAATTGAATTATTGGGGTTCTTTGATATGCCGAATCTAACAGTGTATATTGATTTTTCATTTGGGGAGCTGTTTTCATAACTTTTTGATTTTTTGGGGTTTTTTGATATACTGAATCTCAACATGTATTTAGATTTAAATTTTGGGCCCAGTTTTCAAGCTGGTCCAAATCGGAGTCCAAAATTAATCTTTATTTGATTACATGAATATATGGGGTTCTTTGATATGGGGAATTTAACCGCGTATTTAGATTTTGGATTTTTGGCCCCCTTGTCAAATTGGTCCACATTTGAGGCCCAAAAGGGTTCAAAATTTAACTTTTGTTTGATTTCATGAAAAATTGAATTCTTGGGGTTCTTTGGTATGCTGAGTCTTATCATGTATTTAGATTTTGGATATTGGACCATACTAGGTAAATTTCCTATTTCCAATTTTTAAGTTAAGTTATTTGACCACATTCATTCTGTGTCAAAAACCTATGTCAAATATTTAATCACAATCCTAATTCAGAACTGTATCAAGCTACAATGTTGTGTCCATACTTGCCCCAACTGTTCAGGGTTCGACCTCTGCAGTCATATCAAGCTGCGCCCTGCAGAGCATTTTATTGTTAAGTTGTTTTTGTGCTTTGAATCGATCTGATTAGTCAAGCCTTTTCAACTGATTTTTCTAGCTTGTTTTTATGTTGTGCTGTTATACCTCTACCCAGGTTAGGGAATGGTTTGCCACCCGCAAACAGATTTAACATTTTGAAAGTGTCTGTCCTAAGTCAGGAGTCTGTAATTCAGTGGTTGTCGTTTTTCTAGCTGTATATCATATTTGTTTTTTGTTTGTTGTTTGGTACATAAATCAGGAAGTTAGTTTTCTCGTTTGAATTGTTTCACATTTTGTCATGTCAGGGCTTTTTATATCTTGCTATCCAGTATGGGTTTTGCTCATTGTTGATGGCTGTCCATTATTAGTTGCTAACATCTCCATCATTTGGGCTCTGGTGGAAAGTTGTCTCCTTGTCAGTTATACCACATCTTCTTATTTTTATATTCTGATTCCTATGTTAGGAAAAATTATAAAAATGTGAATTGCGAAAGTATATTTTGTAACAAATCAATGAAATTTCAGAGGTATTGCAGTCCTTAAATTCATCAGTATAAAAATAATGATATTGTTTAATGCGCATTTACTACATAATTTTTTATCTGTATCCACATTCTATAATCTCTCCTTTAAGATATTTTTAACTCTTTTTCAAATTGATAGATTTATTCCCTTTTATTAAATATACATATTTACAACCAAAAATTCACAAGTTTTAAGTACAACATATATATACATAACAATAAAACATATATATAATATACTGTAGAGTGGTTTGTTTCCATGGGATTTAAATATTATGATTTCTTGGGCTTTGCAATATTTTATTTCATGTTTTTCCTTTCCCTGTGTCTTCATTGCAATAAAGATTAAATTCATGATAGGGATTTCACGATTCTATCTTTATCTTGAATTACCCAAAAATGGAACCCTCGCAAAAAAATTACACTACAGTAAAGTGTTTTCTAAAATTTATTACTAATTGCTTTAACAACTTTTGTATGGCACCTAGAACGCTAAAACATAGCCTGTTTAAAGTCATTTAGAAACAATTTTAAGGAGTGCAAATAGCCATTGGCCGCTGGATTCCAGCCAAAAGGTCCCAAGAAAAATATTACTCTATGTTCATGTATTACATGTAACATTATCATGATTATGGCTGGTTACAGTTTAGCTATTAGATAGACTTATAGGTTGCATTTCTGTAAATATTGACAATGCAATTTCCCATAGGAACTCCTTTTACGGCTAAAACTGTACCACTTTTACTATGAAGTTTTGAAAAAAATCATATCCTAGAATGGAAAGTTCATTTGCACTACTATTTTTTTTAAAGGTCAAAATATAGGCTAGGGCTGTGCGTCATATTTTCAACGTTTATATGCCCCGAACTTCTAAGAGTTTAAACTAACAACTAAATTTCTTAACTACCACTACCTTAACTGTAGGATTACCACAGATTTCATTATAAACAATATGCATATGTATATTTACTGGTAATATTCCCAAGTTATGTCTCTATGAGATGAATCATAGAGATCATAACTGGGAACCAGTATGTAAACAAAATTAATTATCTATAAATATTCTATATCTCCCCAAAAGAGGCATGGTTTGAGAAACAGGTGCAACTTATGGCCATTTTGTATTTTGAAAGTATAATGCACATGTTCTGTGTTTAAATAATTTATTATGTAGTATATAAAATGTAATCTACATTGTATTTTTTTCAGGAATAAGGTTTACATGTAAATAACTGCACATGTCTTAAGCCATATTAAACCCAGTAAATTAAAAATCTTTTTCAGATCTTATCATCATTCACAAAAACAAACAAAAAAGCAATGCACAATATTTGTCAATAAGACATAAACCCTTACCGTTATTGTTATATATTGAAAAAGGAAGATGTATATCTATAAGACAAACTAGATCTATCAACAAAAGACTAATACCTTCACAATATGCCAAGCTCTAAATTGTATTGGCAAGTTGTGGAAAAAAAACCAGATCAGCAAACAAAGATCCACATCTTACTAATAATTTCTTTTACAACTTATCATGTTACATGTTTGATGGAAATACTTATTTATAGAAACTGCATTTAAATCATTTGTACTTTAAACCTCAAACTGTATCCTAGGTCTGTTGATGATAAAACTATGAAATTACAAACAATACCAAAAAAAATGGTAAAATGAAATGAAACAATTAATTGATTACACATGGTGATATGAAATCTATATTGTGACGGACATCAGTAATCTTGAATACTGAACACCAATATAAATGCAACACATGATAGATATCTAAAGCTCTAATTGACCTCTTTATGAATGTTAATACAAAGTAGCTCTTTTAAAGCATAAATGTTACTCAAACAGTTTGGTCATGTATCATTTCTTTCAGTTCCAAAATTTCCTATAGGTTTTTACTTTAATTTAAACAAACTGCAGCACTTGCTTAGGATATATATATATATGTATAATTGCTAGCTTGCATCACTTTTCTGCAACCTTTGCATTAGAGGTCCAGTATGATCGAAATTTGTCGACCTAAGTGCAATTTCAATGTTTTTTTTTTAAAGAAAATGTGCAATTTCTCAACAATGAACTTCAAAATGTAAAAAAAGGCATAAACAAGAATGTATCCACCGTAAATGGATGCCCCACTCGCAATATCATTTTCTATTTGAAATTGGGGTCAAAACTCTAATTTGACATTAAAATTAGAAAGATCATATCATAGGGAACATGTGTACTAATTTTCAAGTTGATTTGACTTCAACTTCATCAAAAACTACCTAGACCAAAAACTTTAACCTGAAGCCGGATAGAGGGACGAACAAACGGACAAACCAACAGACGAACGGATGCACAGACTGGAAAACATAATGCCCCTCTATTATCGTAGGTGGGGCATAAAAATGTTAAATAAGTTCTGTATGTCTATTAAAAAAATCTGCCAAATATATAAAAAAAACAACAAACATTGGGGTATTGAATGAAAGTATGGTGGTCCTGGAATTTTAAGGATGGGGTCTTATATAGAATTTTGCATTTTGAAGGATGGGGACATTAATTAATGTATTGGAGACCCAAAATGCATAAACTTTAGAGATAGTACTAGGTTTGAATAAAATGTGTTACTATTCAAGAGTTACACTACAATTCAGATGGACTAAGCTTTAACCAACTTTCCACCGTGTAAATTTAATTGAATTTGCATTCAACATAAAAAAAATTTGCTGAAACATTGAATGCAACAGCTATTATTCTGATATTTCAAAGGTTTTGTATTATCAATTTTTATGATCAATAAGAAACATCATGTCCATTCTAGAGGGTTGCCACAGGGGACATCTAAAGGTTTTGCTATCTCCCACCATGGTAAGGTGGTTACGATGAAATCCACAAGAACTGTAGTGTATTTATAATTCCAATCATCACCATCTACAGAACAGAGACTTCTAAAAATATAGTTGGGATGGAATGTTCAATAAAAAAAAATCATAATTTGATATGGATGTTGCTAGTTATGTCCCCAAATCTTTTTAAACAATAAACACGTCAATCCACTTTCCAAAAGTTTGAGTTTAACTTGTGTGAAATACCAATATGAAAAAGAAATATATTCATTATTTTATTCAAAAATAACAATAAAATGAACAACAGCTACTAAAAATGTGTGATTTCAAACTTTTTTCATTGAAACTTATCAAAAGATGACTGTTTTCAAAACTTGATCTCTTTTTTTTATAACATTATGTACAACAATGCAAAAAATAATGAATTAAGAAATCAAAATACGGTGAATCTATGAAGCAAATGTAAGTAACTTTCTCCAGATAGCTTTTAACAACGTCTTCTTCCATTTCAAAGGGGGGTAATTCCATCATTATCTGGCTGATGTGGTTATCTCCCCATCACCACAAATCAATCATTGTTTGATAGGGTTTAACTCACCTCTAAACAAATAAAAATCATGTGACATGTCATGTGACTACTTTACCTGAATTCAGCCATCTGGAAAAAAATGCTTTGTCAACATACCCTATAGTTCAGGTGGATCTTGTCATTTCCACTATAAAATTAATGTGGGTAGCTCCACTCAAATGTGACCTCGAAGATTTAATATTTATGATAAAAGATAATGAAATGACCAATCGTCTGGAAGATTTTCTCATTTTGTGCCCCCGTTGATGAGTAGAAATGACAAAATTGTCTTTGGTAGCCTCACAAAAATCTGCTCCTTTTGGAAGTTTTACCGTTTTGTGCCCCTCCAACTATGGACAATTGGTCATGACAAAACTCTCATCTGTAGTGATCTCTAGCATGTCTAGTCAAATTACTTATAAGGTTTATATGATTTTGAACAAAAATATAAAAATAAGTAATAACCCTTAAAATTTTACTATACATCTCCCAAACAGTCATATAATGAGAGGGAAAAAAATCTATAAAATGTAAGACCATCAACAATATTTTGGAAAATTGGGCTCAGGCTATTCCCAAAACAAGACTTCAACCCTCTATCATACAATACAGTCCTCTCTGATTTTAATATAAATCTTACATCCGGTTGTTTATCATCTTTTTTCAATAACAATAGGCATGCTATTTGAGGAGGATGCTGAATATTTTAGTTCGGTCAGTAAACATACCTTCTTTAAATAAATAAAAGAATAGCTGGCAGACAGACATCTATCACTTCAAACTGGAACGTCTTCGAAATTTACAGAATACATACCTCTTTTATCCATCTCAATTATTAAGAACTCCTATTTTCAGTTCATGTTTTACTAAAAAGTTAATTATCTTAACGTCTGAACTGAAAATATTTTGAAAAATGTCAGTAAAAAACATGAAATGCCGGAATTTAAAAACAATGATTGATTTATGGTCCTGTTAGTATCTTCTTCCACGGAAACCACGTCCACGACCTCTACCTCGACCTTGACCTGAAAGACATTAAAGTTATGTGAAACAACGTCCATGACCTCTACCTCTACCTGAAAGACATTAAAGTTATGTGAAACCACGTCCATGACCTCTACCTCAACCTGAAAGACATTAAAGTTATGTCTGTAAATTAACATTGTTATATATCATAAAAGAATAGAGTTCCAATGTCCCCAGCATTGCACATATTTTATCTGACAAAGGACAATATCTAATTCCTGATATGCATTGTGTCATTTTATTGTCATATCTGCATACAATATACATGTATTTGTATATATTGTTGTAAGAGATGCTATAATTGGATGCAGTCTGTATACATCATTGAAAGAGATGATATGATTGGATGCAGTCTGTATAAATTATTGTAAGAGATGCAATGATTGAATCCAGTCTGTATACATTATTGTAAGATGCTTTGATTGGATGCAGTCTGTATACATTATTGTAAGAGATGCTATGATTGGATGCAGTCTGTATACATTATTGTAAGATGCTTTGATTGAATGCAGTCTGCTATTAGTATAACTCAACTTAATCGGATGTGGATGTATATATTGTTAAAGGACAGAAGCATCATTTGGTGTATCTGTGGATGTATATAATGTTAAAGGACAGAAGCATCATTTGGTGTATCTGTGGATGTATATAATGTTAAAGGACAGAAGCATCATTTGGTGTATCTGTGGATGTATATATAGTTAAAGGACAGAAGCATCATTTGGTGTATCTGTGGATCTATATATAGTTAAAGAACAGAAACATCATTTGGTGTATCTGTGGATGTATATAATGTTAAAGGACAGAAGCATCATTTGGTGTATCTGTGGATGTATATACTGTTAAAGGACAGAAGCATCATTTGGTGTATCTGTGGATGTATATAATGTTAAAGGACAGAAGCATCATTTGGTGTATCTGTGGATGTATATAGTGTTAAAGGACAGAAGCATCATTTGGTGTATCTGTGGATGTATATAGTGTTAAAGGACAGAAGCATCATTTGGTGTATCTGTGGATGTATATAGTGTTAAAGGACAGAAGCATCATTTGGTGTATCTGTGGATGTATATATAGTTAAAGGACAGAAGCATCATTTGGTGTATCTGTGGATGTATATAATGTTAAAGGACAGAAGCATCATTTGGTGTATCTGTGGATGTATATATAGTGTTAAAGGACAGAAGCATCATTTGGTGTATCTGTGGATCTATATAGTGTTAAAGGACAGAAGCATCATTTGGTGTATCTGTGGATGTATATAATGTTAAAGGACAGAAGCATCATTTGGTGTATCTGTGGATGTATATAGTGTTAAAGGACAGAAGCATCATTTGGTGTATCTGTGGATCTATATAGTGTTAAAGGACAGAAGCATCATTTGATGTAGCTCTACTTTACAGTGAATGCTTCTTGGCTGATCTGATCAAACTCAATAAAACTTTCATATCCTGACGTGAATTTTTTTTAGTGAAGATTCATTTATTTTTGTTGGAACCAATTTTAGAAAAATTGTATTTTCTTGGTTTTGCCAAAGTCTGCTGCATACAAGCCTATGGAAAATTTGTTCTTCGTTAAACATTTAAATTTGAGGTTCACCTCTAACCACTAATCCGCAAAAGTTGGTAACCCCATAAAAAATAATGAATTCACAGTAAAACTGTTTTGGCTATTTCACAGAACTTTCTCATAAATATTACCTGGTTCGTATGTGCCAGCTCGTTCACTGAACTTTCCTCCAGGTGGTGAATATAACGTCACATCTTTTCTTGAATATTTCTTAGCACTGGAGCCATTGGAATCCAAAGATGTGCTTCGTTTTTGACTGAAATTAAAAAGATACAAAGCAATTTTACTATTTTGCGTCTTGCTTTCTAAATTAAAGAACCTTAGTGAGCGCGCTCACATACCCCACGTCCCCACATTGTCATTGGAGAAATAAAATATGTGAAAGAAAAAAAAATTGTATAAGAAAAAAAAATTGAATCATAATTTCCTGTCAATATGCCCATCTACATAGTATGTCCTTATTATCTAAAAAGGTTTCATGAAATTCTGTTGTGTGGTATCAGAGGAGTTGCGATGACAAACTGTTGCAGTAGTACATTAGAGCAAATAAGTTCAAAGGGGCGTAACTCCTAGAAAAAAAATTGAACCGTAATTTCCTGTCGATATGCACATCTACATAGTATGTCCTTATTATCTAAAAAGGTTTCATGAAATTCTGTTGAGTGGTATCAGAGTAGTTGCGATGACAAACTGTTGCAGTAGTACATTGAAGCAAATAAGTTCAAAGGGGCGTAACTCCTAGAAAAAAAATTGAACCGTAATTTCCTGTCGATATGCACATCTACATAGTATGTCCTTATTATCTAAATAGGTTTCATGAAATTCTGTTGTGTGGTATCAGAGGAGTTGCGATGACAAACTGTTGCAGTAGTACATTAAAGTAAATAAGTTCAAAGGGGCATAACTCCTAGAAAAAAAATTGAATCGCAAATTCCTGTCGATATGCACAACTACATAGTATGTCCTTATTATCTAAAAAGGTTTCGTGAAATTCTGTTGTGTGGTTTGAGAGGAGTTGCGATGACAAGAAACAGGACTGACGGCATGACGGACGGACAGACACACGGACGGGTCAAAAACATTATACCCTCCGCAACGAGTTGCGTGGGGTATAATAAGACGAATACTGGGTCTGGATCTGCATCCCTGCATGTAATTGATTAAGGACAAGGTTATATGTATAATGGAGAATAACACAATTGTTTCCTTTCACTGAAGGCAAACATGGCAGATGTACACAAAGGTACCCAATCATAAAGCGTTCCCTTTCATACAAGCCAAGAAAATTGACAAAAGTTTTCTTTCAGACAGATGGACGGACAAAGTCAAACAGTTACCTCACCTGCTTCCGCCTTTTGTGACGCAAGCAAAAATATATCCTTGTATGTTGACCAGTCGTATATAAGTAATAAAAAATAAAGATTTATGGTTAGATTGCGAGAAACAACTATCTACCAGAGACTAAATGACTTAGATGTAAGAAGCTGCGAGAAACAACTATCTACCAGACTAAATGACTTAGATGTAAGAAGCTGCGAGAAACAACTATCTACCAGAGACTAAATGACTTAGATGTAAGAAGCTGCGAGAAACAACTATCTACCAGAGACTAAATGACTTAGATGTAAGAAGCTGCGAGAAACAACTATCTACCAGACTAAATGACTTAGATGTAAGAAGCTGCGAGAAACAACTATCTACCAGAGACTAAATGACTTAGATGTAAGAAGCTGCGAGAAACAACTATCTACCAGAGACTAAATGACTTAGATGTAAGAAGCTGCGAGAAACAACTATCTACCAGACTAAATGACTTAGATGTAAGAAGCTGCGAGAAACAACTATCTACCAGACTAAATGACTTAGATGTAAGAAGCTGCGAGAAACAACTATCTACCAGAGACTAAATGACTTAGATGTAAGAAGCTGCGAGAAACAACTATCTACCAGACTAAATGACTTAGATGTAAGAAGCTGCGAGAAACAACTATCTACCAGAGACTAAATGACTTAGATGTAAGAAGCTGCGAGAAACAACTATCTACCAGAGACTAAATGACTTAGATGTAAGAAGCTGCGAGAAACAACTATCTACCAGAGACTAAATGACTTAGATGTAAGAAGCTGCGAGAAACAACTATCTACCAGACTAAATGACTTAGATGTAAGAAGCTGCGAGAAACAACTATCTACCAGAGACTAAATGACTTAGATGTAAGAAGCTGCGAGAAACAACTATCTACCAGAGACTAAATGACTTAGATGTAAGAAGCTGCGAGAAACAACTATCTACCAGACTAAATGACTTAGATGTAAGAAGCTGCGAGAAACAACTATCTACCAGACTAAATGACTTAGATGTAAGAAGCTGCGAGAAACAACTATCTACCAGACTAAATGACTTAGATGTAAGAAGCTGCGAGAAACAACTATCTACCAGAGACTAAATGACTTAGATGTAAGAAGCTGCGAGAAACAACTATCTACCAGAGACTAAATGACTTAGATGTAAGAAGCTGCGAGAAACAACTATCTACCAGACTAAATGACTTAGATGTAAGAAGCTGCGAGAAACAACTATCTACCAGAGACTAAATGACTTAGATGTAAGAAGCTGCGAGAAACAACTATCTACCAGAGACTAAATGACTTAGATGTAAGAAGCTGCGAGAAACAACTATCTACCAGAGACTAAATGACTTAGATGTAAGAAGCTGCGAGAAACAACTATCTACCAGACTAAATGACTTAGATGTAAGAAGCTGCGAGAAACAACTATCTACCAGAGACTAAATGACTTAGATGTAAGAAGCTGCGAGAAACAACTATCTACCAGACTAAATGACTTAGATGTAAGAAGCTGCGAGAAACAACTATCTACCAGAGACTAAATGACTTAGATGTAAGAAGCTGCGAGAAACAACTATCTACCAGAGACTAAATGACTTAGATGTAAGAAGCTGCGAGAAACAACTATCTACCAGAGACTAAATGACTTAGATGTAAGAAGCTGCGAGAAACAACTATCTACCAGAGACTAAATGACTTAGATGTAAGAAGCTGCGAGAAACAACTATCTACCAGAGACTAAATGACTTAGATGTAAGAAGCTGCGAGAAACAACTATCTACAAGTGACTAAATGACTTAGATGTAAGAAGCTGCAAGAAACAACTATCTACCAGACTAAATGACTTAGATGTAAGAAGCTGTGAGAAACAACTATCTACCAGACTAAATGACTTAGATGTAAGAAGCTGCGAGAAACAACTATCTACCAGAGACTAAATGACTTAGGTGTAAGAAGCTGCGAGAAACAACTATCTACCAGACTAAATGACTTAGATGTAAGAAGCTGCGAGAAACAACTATCTACCAGAGACTAAATGGCTTAGATGTAAGAAGCTGCGAGAAACAACTATCTACCAGAGACTAAATGACTAAGATGTAAGAAGCTGCGAGAAACAACTATCTACCAGAGACTAAATGACTTAGATGTAAGAAGCTGCGAGAAACAACTATCTACCAGAGACTAAATGACTTAGATGTAAGAAGCTGCGAGAAACAACTATCTACCAGACTAAATGACTTAGATGTAAGAAGCTGCGAGAAACAACTATCTACCAGACTAAATGACTTAGATGTAAGAAGCTGCGAGAAACAACTATCTACCAGAGACTAAATGACTTAGATGTAAGAAGCTGCGAGAAACAACTATCTACCAGACTAAATGACTTAGATGTAAGAAGCTGCGAGAAACAACTATCTACCAGACTAAATGACTTAGATGTAAGAAGCTGCGAGAAACAACTATCTACCAGAGACTAAATGACTTAGATGTAAGAAGCTGCGAGAAACAACTATCTACCAGAGACTAAATGACTTAGATGTAAGAAGCTGCGAGAAACAACTATCTACCAGAGACTAAATGACTTAGATGTAAGAAGCTGCGAGAAACAACTATCTACCAGACTAAATGACTTAGATGTAAGAAGCTGCGAGAAACAACTATCTACCAGACTAAATGACTTAGATGTAAGAAGCTGCGAGAAACAACTATCTACCAGAGACTAAATGACTTAGATGTAAGAAGCTGCGAGAAACAACTATCTACCAGAGACTAAATGACTTAGATGTAAGAAGCTGCGAGAAACAACTATCTACCAGACTAAATGACTTAGATGTAAGAAGCTGCGAGAAACAACTATCTACCAGACTAAATGACTTAGATGTAAGAAGCTGCGAGAAACAACTATCTACCAGACTTAATGACTTAGATGTAAGAAGCTGCGAGAAACAACTATCTACCAGAGACTAAATGACTTAGATGTAAGAAGCTGCGAGAAACAACTATCTACCAGAGACTAAATGACTTAGATGTAAGAAGCTGCGAGAAACAACTATCTACCAGAGACTAAATGACTTAGATGTAAGAAGCTGCGAGAAACAACTATCTACCAGACTAAATGACTTAGATGTAAGAAGCTGCGAGAAACAACTATCTACCAGACTAAATGACTTAGATGTAAGAAGCTGCGAGAAACAACTATCTACCAGACTAAATGACTTAGATGTAAGAAGCTGCGAGAAACAACTATCTACCAGACTAAATGACTTAGATGTAAGAAGCTGCGAGAAACAACTATCTACCAGACTAAATGACTTAGATGTAAGAAGCTGCGAGAAACAACTATCTACCAGACTAAATGACTTAGATGTAAGAAGCTGCGAGAAACAACTATCTACCAGACTAAATGACTTAGATGTAAGAAGCTGCGAGAAACAACTATCTACCAGAGACTAAATGACTTAGATGTAAGAAGCTGCGAGAAACAACTATCTACCAGACTAAATGACTTAGATGTAAGAAGCTGCGAGAAACAACTATCTACCAGAGACTAAATGACTTAGATGTAAGAAGCTGCGAGAAACAACTATCTACCAGACTAAATGACTTAGATGTAAGAAGCTTCATGTTACTATAAGGCATTCAGTAAACAAAACCAATGCTATATATCTTTAAAAAGGTCCTGATATGACTAGATGTGAAACAATTCAAACAAGACAAACCAATTTCTCATTTATAATAAAATGCTTCGCTGGGCGCAGCTTGATACGACCGCAGAGGTCGAACCCTGAACAGTTGGGGCAAGTATGGACACAACATTCAAGCTTGATACAGCTCTGAATTTGGATTGTGATTAAATATTTGACACAGCATAGGTTTCTGACACAGAAAGAATGTGGTCTAAGAACTTCAATTTTTTTAATTTACCTATTATGGTCCAATTTCCAAAATCAAAATACATGGTTAGATTCAGCATATCAAATAACCCCATATATTCAATTTTTGTTGAAATCAAACAAAGTTTAATTTTGGACCCCAACTTGGACAAACTTGAAAACTGGGCCCATAATCAAAAATCTAAACACATGTTTAGATTCAGCATATCAAAGTACCCTAAGAATTCAATTTTTGTTAAAATCAAACTTAGTTTAAATTTGGAATCTTTGGACCTTAATGTAGACAAATTTAAAAAACGGGACCCAAAATTAAAAATCTAAAAACACGGTTAGATTTGGCATATCAAAGAACCCCAATAATTCAATTTTTGATGAAATCAAACAAAGTTTAATTTTGGACCCTTTTGACCTCAATATGAACCAATTTGATAGCGGGCCCACAAATAAAAAATCTAAATACATGGTAAGATTCAGCATATCAAAGAACCCCATATATTCAATTTTTGTTGAAATCAAACAAAGTTTAATTTTGGACCCCAATTTGGACCAACTTGAAAACTGGGCCAAAAATCTAAAATCTAAATACATGTTTAGATTCAGCATATCAAAGAACCCCATATATTCAATTTTTGTTGAAATCAAACAAAGTTTAATTTTGGACCCCAACTTGGACCAACTTGAAAACTGGTCCCATAATCAAAAATCTAAACACATGTTTAGATTCAGCATATCAAAGAACTCCAAAAATTCAATTTTTGTTAAAATCAAACTAAGTTTAATTTTGGACCCTTTGGACCTTAATGTAGACAATTTAAAAAACAGGACCCAAAATTAAAAATCTAAATACACGGTTAGATTTGGCATATCAAAGAACCCCAATAATTCAATTTTTGATGAAATCAAACAAAGTTTAATTTTGGACCCTTTTGACCTCAATATGAACCAATTTGATAGCGGGCCCACAAATAAAAAATCTAAATACATGGTAAGATTCAGCATATCAAAGAACCCCATATATTCAATTTTTGCTGAAATCAAACAAAGTTTAATTTTGGACCCCAATTTGGACCAACTTGAAAACTGGGCCAAAAATCTAAAATCTAAATACATGTTTAGATTCAGCATATCAAAGAACCCCATATATTCAATTTTTGTTGAAATCAAACAAAGTTTAATTTTGGACCCCAACTTGGACCAACTTGAAAACTGGGCCCATAATCAAAAATCTAAACACATGTTTAGATTCAGCATATCAAAGAACCCTAAGAATTCAATTTTTGTTAAAATCAAACAAAGTTTAATTTTGGACCCTTTGGACCTTAATGTAGACGAATTTAAAAAACGGGACCCAAAATTAAAAATCTAAATACACGGTTAGATTCGGCATATCAAAGAACCCCAATAATTCAATTTTTGATGAAATCAAACAAAGTTAAATTTTGGACCCTTTGGACCTCAATGTGGACCAAATTAAAAACGGGGCCCAAAATCCAAAAACTTAATACACGGTTAGATTCAGCATACTAAAGAACCCCAAGAATTCAAGAATAAAACCCCATTGAAATTGATCATGAAACAAGCAATTTATACGAAGTATCTTCTTTTGCACAATACTGTGCAATTGAATATTTCTTGCTATTGTGCAATACTGTACAATTGACAATTTCTTGCTATTGGGCAATATTGTGCTATTGGATATTTCTTGCTATTGCACAATACTGTTAAATTGAAGATTTCTTGCTATTGCGCAATACTGTGCAATTGAAGATTTCTTGCTATTGTGCAATACTGTGCAATTGAAAATTTCTTGCTATTGCACAATACTTATTATATAATAATTTACACATCCTGTTTGGTGTGTATCTCCTACCATATCATTATTATTTGCTTTTAAATATAAATCAGAAATAACCAACTTAAAATGGAAAATTTTAAAAGAAAAAAAAAAGGAAAAAAAGAAAAAAAAGGAAAAAAAAAATCCCCCCCCAAATTTTTTGAACCCCCTTATGATTCATCACCCCCAAACTCAATCCCAGCCTTCCCTTTGTGGTATGGTACCTTGCAGTACAATTTCAGAGAGATCCATACACTTGAACACAAGTTATTGTCTGGAAACTAGAAAAATGCTTATTTTTGGCCCCTTTTTGGCCCCCAATTCCTAAACGTTTCGGGCAATTACCCCAAAACTCAATTCCAGCTTTCCCTTTGTGATATGGAACCTTGTAGTACAATTTCAGAAATATCCAAACACTTACACACAAGTTATTGTCATGAAACTAGAAAAATGCTTGTTTTTTGCCCCTTTTTTGGCCCCTAATTCCTAAAATTTTGAGGCAATTACCCCCAAAATCAATTACAGCCTTCCCTTTGTGATATGGAACCTTGTGGTACAATGTCAGAGAGATCCATACACTTACACACAAGTTATTGTCTGAAAGTTACAAAAATGCTTATTTTTGGCCCCTTTTTGGCCCCTAATTCCTTAACTGTTGGTACCATAACCCCCAAAATCAATCCCAACCTTCCTTTCGTGGTATTGAACCTTATGGTGAAATTTCATGGAGATCCATTCACTTAAACTAAAGTTAGAGTGCGAAAACCAATGTGTCTTCGGACGACGCCGGACGACGACGACGACGCCAACGTCATACCAATATACGACCAAAAATTTTTTAATTTTTGCGGTCGTATAAAAAAAGCTGTTACAGATTCAATCGCATGGGGATGGGAAATACTTTCTCTAGAACTTTGTTAGAATTAAAGTAAAATGAAAATTTTATATTATGGTTGGTTGAGAAAAGTGCTTCCCAGCTGGAACAGCTCTTAGATAATAAACAAAAAACAAATTTGAAAAATATATTTGAAGAAAGTTAGAGAATGGAAACCAATTTCGGGACATACGGATGTACAGACGGACGTACAGACGGACGTACAGACAGACACGGACTGACAGACGGACAAGGGTAAAACTTAATGCTCCCTCTACAATAACAGGGGCAAAAAAAAAAAAAAACAAGTTTGAAGAAAGTCTTACTCTGGTAGTCTATCAAGTACAAAGCAGGTAAAACTAACCTGGTATCATCTTGACATGTATGAAGTATTTTCCACTGGACAATAATTTTCCTTCAATCAATCAATGTAAATTGTTTGTCATTCTATTATTTTTTCCCTTTAATTATGTTATTTCACACTAATCCTGTGGTATAAGACTTACCCTGTCTCAGCTGCTTTTGGCTCTGGTGCTTTTTTCTGAAATCAGATTTAAACATTAATATAATATCAACCAATCTTCGTAACTTAAAGTTTCAAGGGCGCTACATACACTACATCTCATGTGGAATTTTCTTTTTCTACTCATCACAGTGGCTGGCTGGTCTATACCACTCAAATTTATATCTTTATGCTATGTTAAAATGTTATTGTTATTGTAAACTTCTTGATACAGCAATAAAAACATGGCCACTTCATAGAAAAGCTGGAGGTTTTAATGGGGTTCACAGAGTTTAATCTTTAATATTCTGTGGTGTTGTCCGTTTAAATGGGGTTAACACAGTTCAATCTTTAATTTTCTGTGGTGTTTTCTGTTCTTATGGAGTTCACACAGTTCAATCTTTAATTTTCTGTGGTGTAATCTGTTTTAATGGAGTTCACACAGTTCAATCTTTAATTTTTTGTGGTGTTTTCTGTTTTAGTGGAGTTCACACAGTTCAATCTTTAATTTTCTGTGGTGTAATCTGTTTCAATTTTCTGTGGTGTTTATTCGATCATTTGTTATCTTTTAGTTCTTTTGGTAAAAACAAATAATATCATGGAAACCCTTACTAATCAAAGTTTCCAGGACTAAAGTCATAACAAGACAATTGCAGCAGACAGATTCCTCAACAAAAATTATTACTTTTTATGACTTCTTTACTATGATCTAAAACCATTGCCACGATTTTATCACTTATCTACTAATTACCAGATTTTAACTGGCTTCAGCAACATGACTGGTACCACATGAATTCATGTCTGTATTTGAGTGGGGTTCCTGTTGCTTAGTCTTTACTCTTTAGCACTAAAAATGTGCTGTCTTCCAAAGAAAATGTGTGCTGTCTGCTATCTCCACATAAGCAGACTAAACATATGAGTGATGTCCGTGTGTACCTCATGTTTTATTGTCCTGTGACACAATATAGGTTCCCATGACTTCATAAACATGACAACACTTACAGTTTCAATTACTTCATAAATATAACAACACTTACTGTTTCCATGACTTCATAAACAGACAACACTTATCACTTACAGTTTCCATGACTTCATAAACATAACAACACTTATCACTTACTGTTTCCATGACTTCATAAACATAAAAACACTTACCACTTACAGTTTCCATGACTTCATAAACATAACAACACTTACTACTTACAGTTTCCAGGACTCCATAAACATAACAACACTTACAGTTTCCATGACTTCATCAACAGGGCAAGACATGCACTGTATCTACAGGTTTCTTAGACAACACTTACCACTGAGTTAATTCATGACTTCATTACCATGACAATACTTACATTGTACTTTTGGACCAGAAAATTCCCAACACATAACTCCAAAGACAACACTCACACTTAGACTTTTTTTTATCAAGATAACACTTACCACCAGCAGATTTCATGACTATATAACCATGACAACACTTACCACTAAAGGTTTCCATGACTATATAACCATGACAACACTTACCACCAGCAGATTTCATGACTTTATAACCATGACAACACTTACCACTAAAGGTTTCCATGACTATATAACCATGACAACACTTACCACTAAAGGTTTCCATGACTATATAACCATGACAACACTTACCACTAAAGGTTTCCATGACTATATAACCATGACAACACTCACCACCAGCAGATTTCATAACCATATAACCATGACAACACTTACCACTAAAGGTTTCCATGACTATATAACCATGACAACACTTACCACTAAAGGTTTCCATGACTATATAACCATGACAACACTTACCACTAAAGGTTTCCATGATGGTATAATGGGTGTTTTATAAGATGGTGGATTATGAAATAAATCTTTAATCAAAGCGTTTATGTTTGATGTTATCTTTAATGCTACAACTTTGATTTTATTCTGAAAGAGAAACAAATTACAATAAATATATGAACAGATTATGCACAGATTTTTATTTCAAGGTAGTGATCAATAAACTAATCATTGATACCAGGATTGAAATTTTGTACGCCAGACACGCGTTTCGTCTACAAAAGACTCATCAGTGACGCTCGAATAAAAAAATGTTAAAAAAGCCAAATAATGTACGAAGTTTAAGAGCATTGAGGACCAAAAAATGCCTAAAAGTTTTGCCAATTACAGCTAAGGTAATCTATTCCTGAGGTAGAAAAGCCATAGTATTTCAAAAATTCAAAGTTTTGTAAACAGTAAATTTATAATTATGACCACATAATTAATAATAATAATAATTCCTGTCAACACAGAAGTGCTGACTACTGGGCTGGTGATTGGACATTCTGTTGGTAGCTGTACTGTGCAGGTTTTTATTATGTGTTTAAATTGAACAGCAAATTTTCAGATAAGCAAAAGGAAAGGGTGGTCTGTGTGCACATGAACCTGGATAACCACATAATATTTTTTGCCTGTACCAAGTTAAGCCATTGGTGTGTACTATGTGCTGTTTGTTGTTGTTTATTCATTTGTACACCTATTTTATTGTCGGGTTTTGGTGTGGTCTGGCTAATATATTAGTGTTGATGTTGCTTTCTAAACTGAATAAAACTATAAAATGTTTGCTATTGAATGCCTCCAGGTGACGGATTTTCTCGCTGAGTTGAAGACCCATTGGTGGCCTTGGGCTGTTTTGTCTACTGTCAATTTTTTTTTTAATATCTAACATTCAGCTGGTTGCTGTTAAAATTCATGCTGTCTTAAGACTTGCGACATTTTCATGATTGCATGACAGAGGAATTGCTTTCCAATAACTGAAGACCATATGACAACATTTAGAGCCTATTTCTGACGACCATCTGACAATCTCTAGAGCCTATTTCTAAAGACCATCTGACAATCTCTAGAGCCTATTTCTAAAGACCATCTGACAACCTCTAGAGCCTAAATTTGTAAATTTGTATTGTTAGGTTGTCATCTCATTGGCATTAACCCTCCTTTCTCATTTATTTCATACTGGTAAGTGCAAGGAACCACATTTGCATTAACCCTCCTTTCTCCTTTTTTTCATACTGGTAAGTACAAGAATCTGATTGGCATTAACCCTCCTTTCTCCTTTTATTCATAATGGTAAGTACAAGGAATCTGATTGCCATTAACCCTCCTTTCTTCTTTTATTCACACTGGTAAGTACAAGAATCTGATTGGCATTAACCCTCCCTCTCCTTTTATTCATACTGGTTGGCATTAACCCTCCCTCTCCTTTTATTCACACTGGTAAGTACAAGAATCTGATTGGCATTAACCCTCCCTCTCCTTTTATTCATACTGGTAAGTACAAGAATCTGATTGGCATTAACCCTCCTTTCTTCTTTTATTCATACTGGTAAGTACCAGAATCTGGTTGGCATTAACCCTCCCTCTCCTTTTATTCATACTGGTAAGTACCAGAAATCTACCATCAGTTTTAACTATATATTAACAAATATATATCAAATGTTTACTCTTCTATAACTCTGAAATTCACCCAATTTCGTCTTACAATTTTTTTTCACCCACAGTCTTCTAAAATAAAATCTCTTGTTTTGTATTTTTTTGGTACAGTGATGTTTATAGTCGTTGCTACTGTATTTTTTTGGTACAGTCATGTTTATATTCGTTGTTACTGTATTTTTTTGGTACAGTGATGTTTATATTCGTTGTTACTGTATTTTTTTGGTACAGTGATGTTTATATTCGTTGTTACTGTATTTTTTTGGTACAGTGATGTTTATATTTGTTGCTACTGTATTTTTTTGGTATAATGATGTTTATATTCGTTGTTACTGTATTTTTTTGGTACAGTGATGTTTATATTCGTTGTTACTGTATTTTTTTGGTATAATGATGTTTATATTCGTTGCTACTGTATTTTTTTGGTACAGTGATGTTTATATTCTTTGCTACTGTATTTTTTTGGTACAGTGATGTTTATATTCATTGTTACTGTATTTTTTTGGTACAGTGATGTTTATATTCGTTGTTACTGTATTTTTTTGGTACAGTGATGTTTATATTCGTTGTTACTGTATTTTTTTGGTACAGTGATGTTTATATTCGTTGTTACTGTATTTTTTTGGTACAGTGATGTTTATATTCGTTGTTACTGTATTTTTTTGGTACAGTGATGTTTATATTCGTTGTTACTGTATTTTTTTGGTACAGTGATGTTTATATTCGTTGTTACTGTATTTTTTTGGTACAATGATGTTTATATTCGTTGCTACTGTATTTTTTTGGTACAGTGATGTTTATATTCGTTGTTACTGTATTTTTTTGGTACAGTGATGTTTATATTCGTTGTTACTGTATTTTTTTGGTACAGTCATGTTTATATTCGTTGTTACTGTATTTTTTTGGTACAGTGATGTTTATATTCGTTGTTACTGTATTTTTTTGGTACAGTCATGTTTATATTCGTTGCTACAGTATTTTTTTGGTATAGTGATGTTTATATTCGTTGTTACTGTATTTTTTTGGTACAGTCATGTTTATATTCGTTGCTACAGTATTTTTTTGGTATAGTGATGTTTATATTCGTTGTTACTGTATTTTTTTGGTACAGTGATGTTTATATTCGTTGTTACTGTATTTTTTTGGTACAGTGATGTTTATATTCGTTGCTACTGTATTTTTTTGGTACAGTGATGTTTATATTCGTTGTTACTGTATTTTTTTGGTACAGTGATGTTTATATTCGTTGTTACTGTATTTTTTTGGTACAGTGATGTTTATATTCGTTGTTACTGTATTTTTTTGGTACAGTGATGTTTATATTCGTTGTTACTGTATTTTTTTGGTACAGTGATGTTTATATTCGTTGCTACTGTATTTTTTTGGTACAGTGATGTTTATATTCGTTGTTACTGTATTTTTTTGGTACAGTGATGTTTATATTCGTTGTTACTGTATTTTTTTGGTACAGTGATGTTTATATTTGTTGCTACTGTATTTTTTTGGTACAGTGATGTTTATATTCGTTGTTACTGTATTTTTTTGGTACAGTGATGTTTATATTCGTTGTTACTGTATTTTTTTGGTACAGTGATGTTTATATTCGTTGTTACTGTATTTTTTTGGTACAGTGATGTTTATATTCGCTGTTACTGTATTTTTTTGGTACAGTGATATCTATATTCATTGCTATTGTATTTTCTTGGTACAGTGATGTTTATATTCGTTGTTACTGTATTTTTTTGGTACAGTGATGTTTATATTCGCTGTTACTGTATTTTTTTGGTACAGTGATGTTTATTTTCGTTGCTACTGTATTTTCTTGGTACAGTGATGTTTATATTTGTTGCTACTGTATTTATTGCAATAAACATCTGGAGAATGAAACTAACCTCATCTGTTTTTAAAGCATCACCTGTCTTTCCTTGTAACGCCTGCCGTAACTGTTTAATATAAATCTGTACACCTCTGGCAAAATACTGTAATCTGAAAAACATGTCAAAATATAATAAAATGCTTCGCTGGGGCGCAGCTTGATACGACCGCAGAGGTCGAACCCTGAACAGTTGGGGCAAGTATGGACACAACATTCAAGCTTGATACAGCTCTGAATTTTGATTGTTATTAAATATTTGACACAGCATAGGTTTCTGACACAGAAAGAATGTGGTCTAACTTGAATTTTTTTAATTTACCTATTATGGTCCAATGTCCAAAATCAAAATACATGGTTAGATTCAGCATATCAAAGAACCCCATATATTCAATTTTTGTTAAAATCAAACAAAAAAAAAGTTTAATTTTGGACCCCAACTTGGACAAACTTGAAAACTGGGCCCATAATCAAAAATCTAAACACATGTTTAGATTCAGCATATCAAAGAACCCCAAGAATTCAATTTTTGCTCAAATCAAACTAAGTTTCATTTTGGACCCTTTGGACCTTAATGTAGACCAATTTAAAAAACGGGACTTAAAATTAAAAATCTAAATACACGGTTAGATTTGGAATATCAAAGAACCCCAATAATTCAATTTCTGATGAAATCAAACAAAGTTTAATTTTGGACCCTTTTGACCTCAATATGAACCAATTTGATAGCGGGGCCCACAAATAAAAATTCTAAATTCATGGTTAGATTCAGCATATCAAAGAACCCCATATATTCAATTTTTGTTGAAATCAAAAAAAGTTTAATTTTGGACCCCAACTTGGACCAACTTGAAAACTGGGCCCATAATCAAAAATCTAAACACATGTTTAGATTCAGCATATCAAAGAACCCCAAGAATTCAATTTTTGTTAAAATCAAACTAAGTTTAATTTTGGACCCTTTGGACCTCAATGAAGACCAATTTAAAAAATGGGACCCAAATTAAAAATCTAAAAACACGGATAGATTTGGCATATCAAAGAACCCCAATAATTCAATTTTTCGATGAAATCAAACAAAGTTTAATTTTGGACCCTTTTGACCTCAATATGAACCAATTTGATAGCGGGGCCTACAAATAAAAAATCTAAATACATGGTTAGATTCAGCATATCAAAGAACCTCATATATTCAATTTTTGTTGAAATCAAACAAAGTTTAATTTTGGACCCCAATTTGGACCAACTTGAAAACTGGGCCCATAATCACAAATCTAAATACATGTTTAGATTCAGCATATCAAAGAACCCCATATATTCAATTTTTGTTGAAATCAAACAAAGTTTAAATACTGGACCCTATCTTGGACCAACTTGAAAACTGGGCCCATAATCAAAAATCTAAACACATGTTTAGATTCAGCAAATCAAAGAACCCCAAGAATTCAATTTTTGTTAAAATCAAACTAAGTTTAATTTTGGACCCTTTGGACCTCAATGTAGACCAATTTAAAAAAACAGGACCCAAAATTAAAAACCTAAATACACGGTTAGATTTGGAATATCAAAGAACCCCAATAATTCAATTTTAGATGAAATCAAACAAAGTTTAATTTTGGACCCTTTTGACCTCAATATGAACCAATTAGATAATGGGGTCCACAAATAAAAAATCTAAATACATAGTTAGATTCAGCATATCAAAGAACCCCATATATTCAATTTTTGTTGAAATCAAACAAAGTTTAATTTTGGACCCCAATTTGGACCAACTTGAAAACTGGGCCAAAAATCAAAAATCTAAATACATGTTTAGATTCAGCATATCAAAGAACCTCATATATTCAATTTTTGCTAAAATCAAACAAAGTTTAATTTTGGACCCTTTGGACATTAATGTAGACCAATTTGAAAACTGGACCCAAAATTAAAAATCTAAATACACTGTTAGATTCGGCATAACAAATAAATAAATGTGATCAAAGATTTTACAAATCTAATGCGCCATACTGTGCAATTAAAGATTACTTCTTGAAATTTTTCAATATTTGAAATTTGAAAAAAAAAATAATATTTGAAGAATAATTCTTTTTAATTTCTGAAATCTGAAATGAGAAAAAATTGGCACCCCCACAATTTCTTTTTATCCCCCCCCCTTTTTCCCCCCAAAAAATTCTTTCCCTCAAGATATGGTCATAATCTCAATTCAAATTTCCAATGGAGTTGGCAACCATAATTACCCATTTAAATTTACCACAGTGCTAACTTAATCTATTTTATAATAGAATTAATAAAAATATAGTGTCAAATCTTTCATATGGATTTTTTTTGTAAAAAAAAAAGATGAAAACATTTGCAGATATTTTTACTGGTCTTCCTTTATAAATATGCATTTCTTTAAACATAATTTAAAAGCAGTGTAAGGGAAGTAACCAAAACGTTGTATTTGGATTACCTCCCTTACACTGTTTTAGATTATCTTTATTGTTCATTAACCATTACTTTATACATAATTTAAAAGCAGTGTAAGGGAGATAATTTCAATGATGTATTTGATTTATCTCCCTTACACTGCTTTAAATTATGTTTTGTACTAAAGTATTTGTCCATTAACCAGGACAACCTTGTTTTTCCCCCTTTTTTGCCCCTAATTCCTAAACGGTTTGAGCCATAACCCCCCAAAGCAAATCCTAACCATCCCTTTGTGGTATGGAAACTTGTAGTATAATTTCAGAGAGATCCATACACCGTTCCACAGTTATTGTCTGGAAACTAGAAAATGCTCATTTTTGGCCCCTTTTTGGCCCCTAATTCCTTAACTGTTGGTACCATAACCCCCAAAATCAATCCCAACCTTCCTTTTGTGGTATTTAACCTTATGTTCAAATTTCAAAAAGATCCATTCACTTAAACTAAAGTTAGAGTGCGAAAACCAATATGTATTCGGACGACGACGCCGGACGACGCCGACGACGACGACGACAACGCCGGACGACGACGACGACAACGACGACGCCAACATCATACCAATATACGACCACAAAATTTTTTTGCGGTCGTATAAAAACTATGTGGTATAAATGCCAATGAGACACTTATTCATTAAGAGACCAAAGAAACTACTAATAGATTCTTTTTTCTTCACTATTTATATGATTAGGACTCAATAATTCCTAATTCTTGGACTGTACAACATTAGAACAAATCAAAAATCACTTGATCAGAAAATTCCTAATCCTTGGGCAATACAACAATAGAACAAATTAATAAACTGCTTCGATGAGCGCAACTGGATATGCCCGCAGAGGTCCAACCCTGAACAGTTGGGGCAAAAATGGACACAATATTCAAGCTTGATACAGGTCTGAATTTGGATTGTAATTAAATATTTGATATATTGTAGGTTTCTGAATAAATGTAGTCAAAGAACTTGAAATTGATTATATGAAAGATTTCTTGCTGTTGTGCAATACACTGTGCTGTTGCTCAATACTTAGTAAATCTGTTGTCAGACTATAAACAAATAAAATCTTATAACTCGGAAACGTAAAATCGAAAATTTATAAAAATCAAAAGGGAGCTTACAAAAATAGATATAAACAATTTCCCAAAGTTTCATAAAAAATGCTGAAAGCATTTTTGAGTTATTGTCCGAAAACTGGAAAAAAAACCTTTTTGTAATGATTTGATTTGATTTGATTTTTGGTGTTTTAACGCCACTTTTAAGCACCGCTTTTGGGCTATTTCGTGGCGGCCAGTTTTTATTGGTGGAGGAAGCCGGAGCGCCTGGAGAAAACCACCGACCTTCGATAGGAAAACTGACAATCCTAGTCAATTAAGATTGGAGTCGAGTGCACCCGCACGAGCGGGGTTCGAACTCACAACCTCAGTGTTGACTGGCTAGTGATTACAGTAGTAACTACTTAGACCACTCGGCCACCGAGGCCCCCTTTTTGTAATGAATAAAACCCCATAAACCGGAAACGTATAGTCTGAAATTTATAAAAATCAAAAGGGAGCTCATGTCGATAGAAAAAAACAATTCACCAAAGTTTCTTGCAAATTGGTGAAATTGTTTTTGAGTTATTGTCTGAAAACTGGAAAATCCCCCCTTTTTTAATGAATAAAACCCCAAAACTCGGAAACGGTAAATCCGAAATTTATAAAAAAATGAAAGGGAGCTCAATTCAATAGATATGAACAATTCACAAAAGTTTCATGCAAATTGGTGAAAGCATTTTAGAGTTATTGTCCAAAAACTGGAAAATCCCCCCTTATTTAATGAATAAAACCCAAAAACTTGGAAACGGTAAATACGAAATTTATAAAAAAAGAAAGGAAGCTCACGTCAATAGATATGAACAATTCACAAAAGTTTTATGCAAATTGGTGTAATTGTAATTGAGTTATTGTCTGAAAACTGGAAAATCCCCCCTTTTTAAATGAATAAAAAAAAACCAAAACTCGGAAATGGTAAATCTGAAATTTATAAAAAACGAAAGGGAGCTCACGTCAATAGATATAAACAATTCACCAAAGTTTCATGCATATTGGATAAAGCGTTCTTTGAATTAATGTCCGACATGTTTACGACAGACAGACGGTCAAAGGTATACTATAATACGTCCCGTAAACCAGGCCTCTACAATAAATTTTTTTTCAACTTGTCCAGTAGGACAAGTACATACCAAAACTTACTTGTCCGAATGAAATTGTAACTTGTCCAAAAACAATCTTATTGATAACCGTTTTTGCATTTTAAGTTGATTCAAGGAACAAAATGAATTAAAACAATAGAACAGAATTTGATTTATATCTTTTGAAATACTTTTCAAAAATATGAGTCGATAACAACTGAACCTAGTCATGTCACAGGACTTAGGTTCTAGCTTTCTTCAATGCCAAAGTCTCATCAGACTCTGCACATGAGGCACCGTCTGATAGGCCTGTCAATGTACACTCATTGGATTTGTATCTTGGTTTTTAAGTTGAAAAAAGTTTTTTCAATGGCAATCAATAAAAAAAAGATGAGGCATGATTGCCAATGAGACAACTCTCTGCAAGAGACCAAATGACACAGAAATTAACAACTGTATTGCAAGTATTGTTTTTTTCTACATATGATCAAATATGATTTTGTGAATTTTATGGTAAATAATTTCTTCATTTTTATTTAAAAAATATTTTTTGTTAAAAAAAATTACAGGTATGATATTTATTATAAAGCAACAGAATAAGGTCGGAAAACGAGGTACTGATTTGTCTTGGTCCCGAAATGAAATGTCTCCTGCGTTGCCAAACTGTCTATTAATCATGTCTATTAAATATGTCTCCTACGGTGCCAAACTGTCTATTAAATTTGGAGCCAAATCGTTTCCGAGCTGGTGACGAACTGTCTTGAAAAGTTACCTTATCTACAAAGCGCATCGCTGATTCGGATCAGAAAAATGGTTTCCGAGAAAGGTATGCCTTTTACCTCTTAAACAGTACCTGACAAAGAACCAGTTTTAAAGTATCGATTGCAAGTAAACATGTCAAATTAATACTTGTTTTTATCTTCTTTTCTTGTTTTTTGTTTATAATTACTTTGTTCATCAAAGTTGGATTAAATTTATTTTCTGCAGAATAATTTTACTTGTCCCGACGGACAAGCTTGATATAGCTTTTACTTGTCCGACCTTTTTTTCCTCTGGTACCGGACAATCGGACAAGCGTTATTGTCGAGGCCTGTAAACGGGCATATAAAAAAAACCTGATCAGAAAATTCCTAATCCTTGGACAGTACAACATCAGAACTAATTATAAATCACTTGATCAGAAAATTCCTAATCCTTGGGCAGTACAACAATAGAACAATAACTCATCAGATTGGAACTAAGCACAAAAACAACTAAAATAAAAGGAGAATGTTTTTATGGGACACAGATGATGCACCGGCTGGCATATAAATTTATAAAGGGACATAACTCAAGAATGGTAAAAGTGACGAAATATAATTTTGAAACTGATCTATGTTTTGTGGTAGTAAGCATTGAAGTTTCCTAAATTTTTGGTTCAAGCAAAATAAAGTTAGAGAGCGGAAATTAATTTTGGGGCGTATGGAAGGTTGTAGGTACAGACAAGGCTAACATTTAATGCCCCTCCTCTGAGGAGGAGACCATAAAAATCAAAAACAAGAATATATGTGTCTTCATATTATCCTGTTTTAGTGGAAGTTCGTAATTTCTATTCTGTCCAAGACTACAGTGATTGAAGATTTACTCGGTTTTGAACAGTTCTCTCGTGTAGTTTGAAGGTAGATCTTGACATTTTGAGCATTTTTCCCCACTAGGTTTTCTCTGTCTAAAATGGTTTTTAAGATATAATGTTCTTATTTTAGCCATGGTGGCCTTGTCTGTTTACTGACCATAATCAACATCACAAATTTTATACCAGATACCTTAACAATTATCCCTCCCATTCCAAACCAAGGGTCCGGAAACGGTCATATTTGCCAGTCATGTCCTAAACTGAAAGCTATATGTCCTAAACGAGTAGTTGAGATTTAGGACAAATTTTATTTTTTAACAGAAAGAATTTCGGTCATTTCATTGACTCAATGTTTATAATCGGATTTCTGAATCGCCATTTTGCACTTTTGATCACTTGTTTTTGTTTATAATCCCTTTCCTGTAATAAAACTGCCACTCCAGTATAGTTTGATAATCCTGAGAGCCCTCCTAATAACAATGCCTCTGGGAACATTGGCTAATGACCGCTAATTACTTTTTACCTGTGTTTTTTTTATTCACACCTGACATTGATCACAAGCTCAGAATAATATTTTAAAGAAATTAAAATTCCCTGACAAGTGTATTCATTATTTAATTACTTTTCAGCAAAAACAATCATTAATTCTGATTTAAAAATTAAACCTTGTTTTAATTAATGTAGAAAAAAGTGTTTTTTTCACGAGTTACACATGTGCTTTATTTACTATGTAATATGCATGTGTGAAATTGTCTTAAGCAAATTAAATATTTAATCTTAACATGCAAATTGCTTTCATGCTAAAGTAAACGTGTGCAACTATTATCTTTTATATTCAAACACTTTTAAAGGTAATAAAATTAAAATGCCTGTGATTTCCTGTCAATTTGATAAACAAATCGAATCCCGGAAATGAATCCGGAATCATCCGTACTTTAATATTATCGCAAAACTTCCGGTTTTAATTTCGTCAAATCGAAAGAAACGATAGCAATGTCTGTGAAATTAACCATTTTGAGTCATTAAAATCATTTCAATTTTAAACTGTTGCCTTCCCTAAACTGTTCTTGAAGGTTTTAGAAAAATGGTAAGAAATTTACTTAGTAAATGCGATGAAACAGCAATTTAAGTTTGTTGATGCTATGAATCTAGTTTGACATCGAAAATTTGAAAAGAGGCACCAACTTTTCAATCATCTCAAAATGACCGAAATTGTGTGAAAAAATTTCCGGATCCTTGTTCCCAACTTTGGTTATAATTGGGTAAGTATTATGAATTAGACACCCTAAGGATCATTCAGGCCAAATTTCATTGAAATCGGTTTAGTATTTTTAGAGAAGATCTTTGAAAAAGATTATGACAAACACCTGACAACTGCAGAAACCAAGTAATGGCGAAAGGGAAATAACACTTTCAAGACTCTGTGAAAAAAGATTGATTCTTTTTTAAAAAGTCAAATTTACCTTAACTTAAAATCTTTTAATCTGTCTGCATTTGCTTCATCTGCCAGAAAACCTGGTAACTTCCTGCCGAGCTGATGGAAAGCTAACATTAAACATTCCACGGTAGAAAACTGGAACTTAGGTTCTTCCTCACTGCTACTCAGATTATCATTTTCTTCTGCTGGCGGCACTGGCATATAGCTCTTTTAAAGAAAAATAATAACAATCCAAATGGTAAATGATAAAAAATATATATTTGGAAAGACAGAATTGTTTTTACTTAAAAGCTAAAACAATAAACTGCTTCGCTGAGCGCAGCTGGATACACCCGCAGAGGTCCAACCCTGAACAGTTGGGGCAAAAATGGACACAATATTCAAGCTTGATACAGGTCTGAATTTGGATTGTATTAAATATTTGACATATTATAGGTTTCTGAATAAATGTAGTCAAAGAACTTGAAATTGGTTATATGAATTGAATTTATATTCAATTAAAGATTTCAAGCTGTTGTGCAATACACTGTGCTGTTGCTCAATACTTAGTAAATCTGTTGTCAGACTATAAACAATTAAAGTTCAATTAATTCTCAATGTCATATTAGAAATTTATGAAAATGTAAAGGGAGCTTACATCAATAGATATAAACAATTCACCAAAGTTTCATGAGAATTGCTGACAGCATTTTTGAGTTATTGTCCGAAAACTGGAAAATCCCCCTTTTTTTATGAATAAAACCCTGTAACTCGGAAACGTAAAATCTAAAATATATAAAAATCAAAAGGGAGCTCATGTCAATAGATATAAACAATTCTCCACAATTTCTTGCATGTTGGTGAAAGCATTCTTGAGTTATTGTCAGAAAACTGGAAAATCCCCCTTTTTTTAATGAATAAAACCCCATAACTGGGAAACATAAAATCTAAAATTTATAAAAAACGAAAGGGAGCTCACATCAATAGATATAAACAATTCACCAAAGTTTTATGCAAATTGGTTAAAGCGTTTTTGAGTTAATGTCCGACATGTTGACGACGGACGGACAGACGGACAGACGGACGGACGGACAGAGGTATACCATAATACGTCCCGTAAACGGGCGTATAACAAAAACAAAGGATATGGGGTATCTATCCATGACACAAAATCACTACATGCATAGCAACAAAAAAACACACACACAAAAAGCAAAGGAACAGCTCTTTTATTGCTTTTTTTCATCTCAAAATCACAGTGAGGCCTTCAACAAAGAGCCAAAAAACACTCACATCACTGCAAGTTAAAGATGGCCCCTAGCAGCGGCTTGAGCGGAATTCTTTGCAAAAATAATTTGGATAGACTTTGTAAGATGTAACACAACCTAATCAGGCCCAGTCAAAAATAAACATACTAGAAAGTAGTACATATTTAAAACAAAATAGTTCCTAAGCATAGTTGTTAATCTTAAACTATGTAGCATAATATTTAGTAATTAAGGTATCTGATGAAAGGCAAAAGACTGGTTGTTGTAGAACACACAATTTACTGATAATACAAAAATTATGAATGAATTCTAAAAATGAGGGCATTTATAGCCGGTTTCTCAGATATGAAGTGCCTGGTTTGGTGTAACCAAAATTCCCTACATTCCCTAGTTTAATTTTGGATGCAACACAAGTTTATTTGGCCTCATGCAATAAAACACATACCTGTGTTTGACATGAATGGCCCCCACTTGCTAATAATATGTGAAAATACTTTTGGGCCTGGCAGAAGGACAGACGGACACTTAATGCTTCCTCCGACTAGCGGTTGGGGCATAGAAATCATGGTAGGTAGGTAGGCAGAAATCATTTTTTTTTATTAAAGAACTTTTGACTGGTTTTAACAGGGGGAACAGTCCAACTTTACTAGTGATATAGTGCTTGTTCAAGAATGTTCCAAAAAATCTTTAATCTTTAAATTAGGATAAGTAGGATTAGCAGATACATAATTTTCATTTTATTAGTCCTAATGTTATTCCAGAAATGCATTAAATGAATATGATACTTATATTTATAATATCTTTTTTTTTTTTTTATAAATTTCAAATTCAAATATATGACTCACTCAACAAAATTTATATATATATATATATAAAACACTAGATCTAGAGCATAAATAAAACCAGTATTTCTTAAAATTTTGACAAAATATTAACTCTGACCAGTTGACAAAAGCATAAAAATTTCAAGAAATTTGAACCACAAAATTTACATGAGTAATTTCATTGGAAATATACAAGTTTGACAAACACTGATTTTGATCATTGAGAAGCTTGATTTCTATTTAATAATAGAATGCGATTAAACTTTCAGCTGCTTTTTAAAGAGTTAACTCCTTTAAGTGTTCTGTAACCCCTTAATGAAACAAGAGGCTCTCAAGAGCCTGAATCGCTCACCTGTTATTTTTTTTGCTTAAATCTTTCATCAATGATTATTTTTGCTTCTTACCCATATGTTCCATTTAGCTATAGTGTCTATGTTTCTTGACGTACAAGAATATGAAATACAAAATTTATACTAGATTCATTTGAGAAGATTTTTAAAGTTAAAAAACATAAAACAACTTGTGTAAAATTGTCCTTAAAGGGCAATAACTCCTTAAGGGGTCAATTGACAATTTTGGTCTTATAAACTTTTTTGTAGATCTTACTTTGCTGAACATGTTTGCTGTTCACAGTTTTTATCTATCTATAATAATATTCAAGATAATAACAAAAAACTGCAAAATTTCCTTAAAACTACCAATTTAGTGGCAGCAACCCAACAATGAGTTGTTCGATTCGTCTGAAAATTTCAGGGCTGACCAATTGAACAATTTTACCCCCCATGTAAGATTGACCAATTGAACAATTTTACCCCCCCCCCCCCCCATGTAAGATTTGCTCTAAAAGCTTTAGTTTTTGAGATATAAGCAAAAAACTGCATTTGACCCCTATGTTCTATTTTTAGCCATGGCGGCCATGTTTGTCGATGGATCAAAACTTCGGATACAATTTATAAAATTGATACCCTAAGGAACATTTAATTAAAGTTTGAAGGTATTTGGCCCAGTAGTTTCAGAGGAGAAGATTTTTGAAATAGTTTACGACGACGACGGACGCCAAGTGATGGCATAAGCTCACATGGGGCTCTTCGGGCCCCGGTGAGCTAAAAAGGTAGGTCTTCACGAAAAATAAAATAGTTTACAGTTATCATCTTACTTACAATAAGACATTTGTAGAGATTATCCAATCTGTTTTCTAACTTGTCCAAGTCTCCAGCAAACTCTGAGATCTCACCAAACAATTTTAACATCTCTAACTGTGCATCTACACCGTCATCTGGACTGGCTAGTTTACTGATCACAGGTAATACATTATCACATATATACCCTACAAAGGCTTTAGAATGCACATTTTTCTACAAATAGAAATAAAACTGATTTTGTTATATAGAGTCAGAGTCACACAAAAAAAGTATTCTGTACTGACCCAAATTTTTTACAACAAACATATCTTTTTTTCACTGTAAATTAGGTAAATTTTATTTTGATTAGTATTGGTCATAACATCCATGATCGTTTCGTTCAACTGCTGGCGTAAAAATAAAAGTAAAAAACATATCTGACTGACATGAACAACTTCCACAAAGGCTACTTACCCAATATATAGGTAAATGTAATACTGGACCCTATTCCAGAACCAGAAAGGGTATATAGATCTGGGTTGACAATCAAACAAAATTTTTTTTTTTAAAGTTGATGACCTATTGACACATGATTGATCCTCTATTTTTTCTGGCAGGTGACAGTAAACACACATTTTTTTTGTCTTTTTGTGTGGTGAGTTAAATAATTCATTTCTTTACTACCTCACATATATGACCAGGTGATTTAACAATGGCACTTATTAAAGTAAGTTTCTCATTTGAATTGTTTAATATTTGTAATTTTGGGGCTTTTTATAGCTTACTATGCGGTATGGGTTTTACTCATTGTTGAACGCTGAAAGGTAACCTATAGTCATTTGGTTTCTGTGGGGGAGTTGTTTCATTGGCAATCATACCACATCTTCTTATTTTTATATTAAAGGCCTTGCTTGATATGTACTCCCATAAAATATAGGCCCTGTTCTAACATACTCTAATATTACTCACGGAAAACAAAGGTGCTGCTTGTTTTATACAATGTATCAATCGATCAACACAGTCTGTGTCTTCAGCCTGTAATATAAAATAAGTAAGAGTCATTCAGAAATGTTACTTTAATTATTCTTCCCATAGTTTATTTATTTTGTATTTGCATTGTATCATAGATCAAATTTATTTGTTCAGTGTATGTTCACCGGTGTTAATATGTCTTTTGATTGAGTTAAGCCATTTCAATTGATATTTTATAGTGTGTTTTCTATGTTGTGATGTTACACTATTGTTTCAGATAAGGGTGAAGGTTTGGTACCATTAAAACGTTTAAACCCGCTGCAATTGTTTGCACCTGTCCTAAGTCAGGAATCTGATGTTCAGTAGTTGTTGTTTGTTGATGTGGTTCATAAGTGTTTCTCCTTTCTCGATTTTTATATAGATTAGATCGTTGGTTTTCCAGTTTGAATGGTTTTACACTAGTAATTTTTGGGGCCCTTTATAGCTTGCTGTTCCGTGTGAGATAGGGCTCCGTGTTAAAGACCGTACTTTGACCTATAATGGATTACTTTCATAAAATTTTGACTTGGATGGAGGGTTGTCTCATTGGCACTCATACCACATCTTCTTATAGCTACCAAATAAACAACCAGCCATTATCTGAAATACTTAAAGAGATGTACAATAGATTTTATCCAAACATCAGTCTGTAATTTAAAATAAGTCAGAGTCATTCAGAGGTTGGTCAAATAAACAACCAGCCATTATCTGAAATACGTAAAGAGATGTACAGTTTATTTTATCCAAATATACCCATTTCAATGTATACAGGGCTGGGGTTTATGTGACACTTTATTTTTGGGTCCTGTGCCAATAATTATCCTTGTACAATTGGTGTTGACAAATTTCAAACTATCGGCTACAGGAAGTAAATGCATGTTGGATGTAAAAATTGCTTCTTGGATACAACTCAACATTATCAAGCTGCAGACCAAATATTAAATCATTATTCACTTTCATAGAAGTAAAAAAAAATTTGACGAAAGTTTTCTACCCAAGGTCTTTTGGAGGGACGGATGGAGAGGCGAAGTCGAACGGTTATTAGACCTGGTTTTGCCTTTGGCGACACAGGTAGAAACAAAATAAAATATTATTATACTTATGTAGATTGATTGATTGATTGTTGGTTGCTTAACGTCCAGTGGCAAATATTTCATGCATATTCAGGACGATACTTATGTAGAAAGACAATAACTGTCAGTCAGGAGTAATACTTATACAAGTGGTTTTTTTAATTTGCATGTACAGGGGAATTATTTTGGAGGTAGAGTTATATCCCTTAGACAGTCAGATTTTTTTTACATAATTATATAAAGTAAAAAAAAGTCATATTTTCATCTTTTCTTGAATTTCTTTGACTACATTGCTATAAATGAGTGTTTAAAGGTCTGTCATTAATAATGGTCTTTATTATTATTTCTAAATGTATAATTTCGGTTTAATCCACCAGTTTCTACAAAAGGAAATGCCTGTACCAAGTCAGGAATATGACAGTTGTTATCCATTTGTTTGATGTATTGGAGCTTTTGATTTTGCCAGTTGTTAAAGGACTTTCCGTTTTGAATTTTCCTTGGAGTTCGGTATTTTTGTTGTTTGACTTTTTCAAGGACATTGAAAATCTCATTTGTCTCACTGCTCATTTACCAACCCCCAGGGAGTAATTTTTTTTAGCCTTGCAGAGTAAATTAAGGATGTTCGCTACTCTGTTTCAAAATAACAAGCCTTTTAAAAGACTGTTATAAAATGATAGTATATAAATAAAGGAACTAAAAAAGCAGAAAAAAATGAAGGGTCAGTGCGCTTATTTTCGAGATATAAGCCACTGAAAATTTGGCGGGAAATGATTCATTCTAGATTTTTCATACTTTTAACATTTCCGCTTTTCTCTATTAAAAACTATGAAAAAATAACAAGATTTTTGTAAGATTTTCAAATATGGCTTTTAAAACTATATGTTAAAATAAATTGAAAAGAAAAGTAGGGGTTAGTGGACAAAATTTTTTAATTGCTAAACATGGATAAAACCAGAGGATTCCGAAAATCTGGCAAAAATTCAAAACTAAGAGTAGCCAACATCCTTAACATCTGTGCACAGTACATTTCTTTGTTCAGTTCTTGAGATACATATGTTAAAGGTTGAACTTTTAAAATTAAAAATATTAGCAAACCAGAAACAAATTAAATAGACATGTTTTGACCTGACAAACTTGTGTTGCAAAATAAAATATACTTGAAAATGTAAATTTTTTGAGAAGATTACTGGGAGATTATTCAAATTTTGAAATGAAAATTAAAATCTTGCAAATTAACTTCCACAAGTAAATATTACTTACATCTTCAAGTAACTAAACATTACAGGTATACATATTACACCTGACTGTTTGTTGGTCCATGTGAACATTACAGGTATAAGTATTACACCTGACTGTTTGTTGGTCCATGTTAACATTACAGGTATAAGTATTACACCTGACTGTTTGTTGGTCCATGTTAACATTACAGGTATATGTATTACACCTGACTGTTTGTTGGTCCATGTTAACATTACAGGTATAAGTATTACACCTGACTGTTTGTTGGTCCATGTTAACATTACAGGTATAAGTATTACACCTGACTGTTTGCACTGGCAGACCAATTTGGAAAATCACCGCGATTTTTGTAAAAACTCCGGTGTTTTTTGGCTAATCTCCGCGAAACGGATAAAAATTAGAGGTTCATCGTAAATTTGCTGTATTACAGGATATTTTGCATGTCATCCGGAGATTTTCCGTGTCGGCGGGAATTAGCCGTTTGTCCGATAAAACTGGTGTGTATTGAGTCATTGATAGAACCACTGATGCGTGAGCGACGGTTATTAATAGGTCGTTGTATAATCCGTTATGCGTGAGCGACGGTTATTAATAGATCCTTGTAGTGTGGTACAAATTATGATATATAGATGTTTACAGACTTAAAAACAAAGTAACTATAATCATTTGAGATATAAGGAATTTTCAAAAATATATCATATAATGTTTCTGTAAATTTAGAGAGAAACAGATTATATACATCTGGGGATTAGATGGTTACTTTTTTTAATTATATGTCAGAGGCCGCAGATCATTTAATTGCTTCTAGAACCGTTTATTGAAACAAAAATTAAATGAACGGCCAGGGAAAAGTCTTTAGTAACCTTAGTTGGTATCAGGGGTCAACTGGGTTGAGTTCAATATCGTAGCAGCTACGTAGCGGCTATGTAGTTGCTATCAATATCTATGTAGCAGCTTATCTATAGCTACACGTTCAATAGTAAAAATCTACATAGCACTACGTAGCCGCTACGATATTGAACGCAACCCTGGTAATACATAGAGTCAGACCGTCGTTGCATAATATGTATATGTATTTACACACAATGCAGTGCATTCAAACTCGATTTCGCAAACTCGTGGGTTGTCTTTTTAGACAAAAAAGTTCAATTTAAAAGATATGAAAGTTACGTACATGTATACAAGCATAGATATAATAGCCATTATATCTATGATACAAGGAATTGTATATTTAACGTCAATGCCTGTCTTGTAAACTAATCTGTTACACTTTGAAATGTAAATAAGTTCTTTTTAAATGATTTGACGGTTATTTCACATGAATAAAAGTTCTTCTGATCATTTTTGTTTTACAATGATTTTTGAAAGTGCGATCTTAAAACTAAGTTTGTCCGGACTTGCATGGAATATTTGCCACTGGAAGTTAAGCAACCAACAATCAATCATCTTAAAATAAAATAAATATGCCTGAGCGATAATATTCTTAAATTTTTTAATGTGAAACACAGTTTCTTCATTTATTAGAAATCACTTTCAGGTCTAATGGTAAAGTGAATATACATTCCGGGATGAGATTAATTTACTATAATTGCCAAAGAAAAAGAAATGATATTACGTTTCTTTTAATTAAATTTTAGACTGCAACAAATGTAGATCGAACATTTTTAATAATGAAATAATGCACGTCAAAAATTTCGCTCACAATAGAGATGTTAAAAATAGATTTTATCAATTGTGTCACTGCACGAGATCTTCCAACGGCGGGAAACATCATGTAGCTATAAACACAGGTGATGTTACTGACCGATTGTGGAATGTCAATTTAGGGTTAAATTTGATGTGTAATGATTGACATTATTGTGCGCGTTAGGTTGAGGCTCTAGAAGGTTCATTTCAATTGATAACCAAAATTATAAAATCAAGTTTTTTTTTCAAATCAACGTTTAAGTGTAAAATTTTGTGGGAGGGAAACTTTATTTTGTTTGTTTTTTAGGGGCACAGGGAGTTACCATAAAAATCTATAGGAACATTGAATAAAACAATTTCGAAGGTCACAACTTGTAAACTAATGAAAACAATGATAAACACTGCTGACAAGCGTAAACAGTTGTACATTACTTAGAAAATAGAGAGAGTGAAAAAAAAAAGGACGTTGATGATGGTAACTGTTCATGTTAATTTAGAAAGATCGTGGTAACTGATTTCTCGGATGGTGGTACTTGCCAAAAGGTTGTATAAAAGGACAAACTAAGTACAATTTTAGCCGTGATATATGGGGGCCCCTCACGCTTGAATTAATTTACGTTACGTATTTCGTCCTTTATTATGACCTACAGTTGATCATAGTTGAGTACTACGTATCGGTCAGGGGCGGATCCAGACACTGTGAAAAAAGGAAGGGTGTGCTAGCCAGGGTTTCTCAGAAAAAAGGGGGTGCTAGTACAGTTGGCCTAATGTATTTGAAGGCCAGGATTGGAAGATTATCAGACATTCTGTGGCTCAATTTTAATTTTATTTTCTAACTGTGAAGTGCTACCTAAGCCGTGGCCTGGAGAACCATACCCAATTTTTTAAAAGGGTGTTCCAAAGGCATATTAAAATACTTCCAGCATTATACAGGTCCTGAGGTACAATTTCTTGGGGAGGAGATTTCAAATGCTGTTATGTGGGTTAATTTTTTGTTACTAGGAATTTTCGTTTTTTTTTTTTTCA